CAGCTAAATCTTGCCAGTCTCTCGAATCATGAGTCAGTAAAGTACCCCGTCAACAGCCATCAGACGCTGACAATGACAGTGCAGTCTGCGATGACAGCCCAGCTGAAACCACGACTGCAGATCTAATCTCAGTTACCTACAGTTTTACAGCGAGATATAGACGGTAAATCATACTTATTTTCGCAATGACCACCAGTTTTGATCCCATTATTATGCTCTGAGATTTAGTCGCTATTCCTCGATATGAAACAAACTCGCTTAATAAAAAGCCAGTGAGGGAACACAGAGTAACAATTCGGAGAGGGACTGGGAGGGTTAATCTAAAGCAGCAATCCACTCATGGACGGATCGGCGTAACTGTTCCCTTCTCGTCTCCAGGAAATAACGTCACAAATTGATACACATTTCAGGGCAAAAACTCCACCCCCGGTTGGTGTTCATTTTGTACATTCCCCCCGTGGGCGGGGGTGGGCAGACCACCCACCCACCCCCCCCCCCCCCCTCCCCCCCCCCCCCCCCACATAAAATCCTGGTTACGGGCCTGCGTCGATAATTTTTTTTCACAGACATCGAAAGACAATAAAACAGTGCTCCACAGCGGTACGCAAGAACAACACGTCAACTGATTTCATACATGCGTTGCACTCTCTCGTACCACTCCTTCACGACCTTGGCTGATGACGAAATAGAAGCAAGACTATGAGAAGCACTCGATAAACTTAGCGTTCGTTTTTCTCTTCATTTGGCACAAACAACCAGCTTGGGGACGCGAGACGAAGGACTTGAGGACATCAAGTATGGGACGCGGGGACGTGTGGGACGTTCACGTGGGACGTCAAATACAGGGACGCAGGGGACGCGGAATGTGAATGATTATCGCAAAAGTCGGAGGCAAATGCGATATCAGTCACTTTCCTGGTGAATATGTTTTGGTGAAGGCAACCCACCCTGCCCTCCTTAGGGGTCCTACATGCCTGTTTACGAAGCGAAAACTCGGCGAAGACCCCCCTGCATAGAAGAAAGTGAAACCGTTGTCCTCGTCGTCTTGCTAATGGAATGTTGGAGCCCAAGCAGGGTAGGGTGGGTTGCGGTCGCCAAAAATTATGTAGAATAACAGCATTCGATTCCAAATAAATTTAAAGTGGCATAAGCGAGCTTCGAATCCCGAAGTGCTAACTTAAATCCATCGCCTGTACCACTAAACCACGGGGGATTCAACTATTGTAGCAATATTTATTTTGTTCTACATATATTTTTAGTGGCAAACCTAACAGTAAATGCTTGCTAACAATACTTAAAGGTTGATTTCCACTGACGCGTTTTTGGCTATGCACGTTAACGCAAGTAAATTTTAATCACGTAAATAAGATGGAGGCAAAATATTAATTGTTGAGATTAAACGTGAAGTTGAGCGAGATTCTACCTTTACGTTTACGTGCAACCTTTCGTACATTGCCTCTATTTTATTTGCGAACGCAAATTTTACGCACGTACGCATGGAAAAATTACGCGACAGTGGAAATCAACCCTAACCCTACGGCACGATAGTCAGTGCGCTTACTCCTATTATAAAGAAATATTTTGTGTAAACATCATAAGGTGGCCAATGTGGTTTTGGAAGATGGACTCTAATATTGACCATAAATAACATTTTCACGAAGAAAGAGATATCGCATTTACCGCCGACTTTTGCGATAATCATTCACATCCCGCGTCCCCTGCGTCCCTGTTTTTGACGTCCCCGCGTCCCCGCGCCCCATACTTTATGTCCTCAAGTCCCTCGTCTCGTGTCCTCAAGTCCCAAGTCCCCACACACGCGTCCCGATGTCCCCGTCCCCTGTTAAAAGCCATTAATGAAGGTCTCTCGGGGGTACGCAGTGTAAGGGCCTACTCGGTGAGGCTCCACCTGAAATGATTACCTTTTTCAGGCTTCAGTTACATGTATATGAAAACGTATGACGTGAGATCAGGCTCTATTTTCGTTTCGCTTTGAAAATTACATCCTGGCGAGCAAGGCGAAACGAATTTTAGCGGTAGCCGTTAGAGAGAATGTATGAGAACCGCTAAAATTGGGCCTGATCTCAGGTCAGAAAACGTAGGGATTTCGGGGCGGGGAGGGGGTACTGCCTATGATGGCCTAGTCGGGAAGGCTCCACCCGAAAGGGGTATCTTTTCCATAATTCAGGTATATGAAGGAGTAGGGGTTTCATTGGTTGAAGTATGTAAAAGGGTAGGGAAATCTGTCATTGCATGCGGTCTGTCAAAAGGGCCAAAAAGGACTAACAGACATATTTTAGGGCAGTGAAAAAGACAAGAAAACGTGCTGGTTGAGTGATTCATACATATTTTAAAGACCATGCATTCACAGCGGCTAAAAGGGATGCGGCGTTCTAACCTTGGTTTGCGAAAGGGGTACCATTTGTCAATAGAAAGTATACGAAAGGGGTACCTTTTCTGTTTAAAATTATGGTTCGTGCAACTTCAGACAAACAGCTTTCAAGGACTTTACAAGGATTTTTCAAGGACAAATTACAGTTTTCAAGAACTATGATTTATTTGATAAATCGGCATTCTTTACTCCCCTCTGATAATCCTGTTGGCTAAAACACGTTCTGGAGTCATTTACGATTTTTACTTCTTCGGTCACCGTTGATCACATTATTTCTTTTACACTACTTTCCGCAACAAGACTTTGCAAAATGACTCGATATGACTTGCAATTGCATCTGAGGCACAGAGATAGCATTTGAAACAAAGAAACAGAAATATAATATTGTTCATTCACAAAAATGTTTTTACGTTACCGCTGAGTTTTACAGGTTCTTACCACGAGGATGAGCCAAAGTTTCCTCGGCAAAAAGACTATAATTTTACAGTAAAAGGTGTCTGGTGTAGACAAGGTTGTGAATTTTAAGGACTTCAGTTTCAAGACCTTGTAAAGAAACCAAGTATTTTGCAAGGACCTAAACCGAATTCAAGGAGTTTTTCAAGACGACTAGTAAAATTCAAGACCTTTTCAAGATTGTATGAACCATGGAAAATGGTATATAAAAGGGTAAGGGGTTGGACTTAGGGGCGAAGCCTGCCCATATAGAACTTTGTTGAGCCCCCAACCCCCCTCGCCTCCCTATTCGGAGTGGTCCCCATCCCATTACCTGCTCTATTTGAGGAAGGTTCATCGGACGGTCTGAGCAAAACGCCAAGATATCAACAAGTTTTATTCAGCCACATTAAAAGCTGCTACTTTATATTACATGTACAAAATCTTATGTTTTAAACATATATTTTATGGAACGGTAGCTTTACTTTAATGTCTAGCAACGACAATAACAACTTTATCAAGTTCGTGAATTTACAAACGTACTCCTTAGCCTACGTCTGGATCTCGCATTGAAAGATTAGGCCTGGCTAAGACCCGGTTTAGACGACGAACTTTTCAAATACATTGAATTAAGTACGTGAAACGTTCGGCGTCTCAATCAATTAGGAACGCCTGTTTCAATCTGGAACAGCTCAGCCGTTCTTTCCGCCTAGCCCGACCAGACATTTCGACTTTGGATCGACTGTGGAACGGCTTTGATTCAGACGCCGAACTTTTCATGTACCGCAGGTAATGGATAAATTATTATAACGTATTTTGTGAGCAGTTTGACCGAGATGCACATTTTTCTCCTTGTAAATTTAGTTCGACTGAAATTTAGCCTTTAAATTAATTTCTGCATACACATATAGTACTTAATTGAATAAATAATCACTTAAATACTATGGATATCAAATATTTTCTATTGATTATATATTCTATAATATATGCTATATTGTCCTTCCTACTTCTAAATATTTAAATTTAATTTCATTTTCAATTCTTTAGAACCAAAAAAAAATATTTAAAAAAAACGAACACAAAAACCAGGAGCTAAAAAACTTTGGCATAGAAAACGTTATAAACATTCTAGTAAGAAAAATTTCGTTTAAGAAATATTGCCCAGTTTGTTTTGTCTAAGAAGTTGTAATGTATCATACAGGTAAAGTAAAACCATTTTGTCCAAACAGATGTTCGCAGCCTAATGTCAAAATTTATGAACGTACAAGGTGAAACCACCTTTGAAAATGATTACATGAAAGCACCTAAGAAACGCTCATATCTACATTGATAAAGTCTACTTAGCAATACCTAGTGTTAAATGATTGATTTCAGCTACGATGATTAACGATGCACAGTATTGTGGGTGTTTACCATTGACCAAGCTCGGAGATTCCTAAAAATTTCGGTTACCACGTAGATGGAACACGCTTCTTTGGCATATCCTACAGGATCATTTACTATATTAACCGTTCGTCTCAAAAGACATACTGTTTGTTTGTTTGTTTCAGCTGGGGAGTTCGTCGTGGATATTCGTGTTCCAGTTATCGGGGTAAAATTAGTTTCGCGTTTTCTTCCCCACTAAGACTTCCACGGCCTTGAAGCTTCCACGTCCATTCTGATTGTTTCAAGTATATTTTGGGTGGAAAATCGAAGGCGTGTACATCGAATAAATTAAAATTTCCGAGTAGCCCTCACCCTCTGTTTCAAAGCGAGGCTAAGTGCAAAGCCATTGATATGAAAATGATTCTTTATTCTCACGCAAATAAAACTCATTTTCCAAGAAAGGTTTTGCACTGTGCAGGTAGCCTGTTTTGAAAGGGAGAGTTTTTGGAACACGGAAATGACCCATTGTATACAGCTATTTCGAGAAAGGTTGTCGGATAAAGTGCACGCGACAACCCCGAAATGCATTGTGGGTGGTCTTGAGTTCACTGTTTTTCAATGAAATCGGAAAAAAATGGCATCAGAGACCATGGACATATGTCTGCGAGTGCTAAACGAAAGAAACAAAAGTAGGTTCGACAGCTACAGTGTCAGAAACAGTGAATTGATCGTATCCCATATTACCTTTCGGGGTTGTCGCGTGCACATTTTTTCCGACAACCTTTCTCGAAATAGCTGTATTAGAAACACGCAATGGTGTTGTTAATAATGCCATTAATGGCAACGCTTTTCTTTTAGGGTCAGTTGGAAGAGAAGTGTTAGAAGCTTTCACAAGTATTCTACGGCATCTTCAAACAGGTCGTCATTACTAGAATCCCCAGAGTCTGACAAAAGAAGAAAAAGAAGAAGAAGAATCAGTGGACTCTTCAACCCATCTCGTCCCCAGGGCTTTTCCCTCAAAAAATGGGTTTTTGAGGGAAAAGCCCTGGGGACGAGGTCGCTCTTCAACTCTTTTGACAACATTAAGTAGTTGCTACATGAGTTTCGACGGTGATGTTTTCAGATCTTTATACGCTACTTACTTCACACTTAAATAAATGGAACACAAGACTGTTAGCACCGAAGGACTGGGTACTGGTTATAATTATAGAATACATCACAGAGACCACGTTGGTAGAGAATTCAAACATCGTTAACATTCACAAAAAACTATCAGGCAACAAGGTTTGTTACTATCTGTGATGGAGGGGGTATGTAGAAAGACGTGTTGATATCTTCTTCACCGCGGTAAGCTAATATAAACACCAATTACAAGGTCACTAATTAACGCTTAGTTTGTTTACCTGAGTGCTGGCTGGACCCTGAAATATGAGTAACATCATCAGCCCCTCTTTCGCCTGAGGTAGACTAAGGACGATAGAAAAGACACTGTAAGGTATTACCCGCGCAAAATTCAGGAAATGTATCAGTGTAAACTTACGCAATTAGTTTCTTGCCACGACCATAGCTTCAAAACTATATAAGCATAGCTTGGCTTTGCATTCGCTTAGGGATACACCGAATGTCCAAAAAAAAAAGAAAAGAAAACCGCACGCTGTACGCTGTGCTATTTTTAAACACGCTTTGGGGATCCGCTCGTGCCACCGTTCGGCTCTGCTATTGAATACCAGAATACAAACCTGGAATGAACAGTTTAACGTAGCACTGTCACTTGTTTGATTATCCGCTATCATGCAAGCGTTCTGAGAATCCAACTGATCGATTACCATTCTAAGAGTCCTGATTGTCTACCAAAAAAAAAAAAATTTTCGACGATTATTCAGTGGTCAACAAACCTGAGCAAAGTTGTATATTTACGCGGTCAATCTGGGTAATACAATCTCAAAAATTACACTCAGGCACAAGCTTGTGAGGACTTAAGTGCAAATGACGCACAGTTCCAGTTACACTTAGGCCCGGTTCAAATTTCACGTGTGCCGAACTTAATGCGAGAGTTAAATGCATGTGAAGTGTGACGTTTGAATCAATTAAATTCGACTGTTTAAATTAAATGCGACTTTCGCCGTATCTGCGACTGACACAGTCGAAGATTCGACTTAGGTTCGACTTTTAATAAAAACGTCGCATTTCATATGTGCCGAACTTAATCCATGAATTCTAGTAAATTATTATGATTCATTTAGAGAGACTGGAATATTGACAGCGAACAGAGTTAAATTCGACGTTTGAATCAAATGCCATATTTAACTATTTTAGTCGCCTAAAATAGGAATTAAGTTCGGCACATGTGAAATTCGAGGTTTGAACTGGGCCTCAGTACCCGCTTACACCTGGAGCCAAGAAGTTACCAAAAACCTCTATTTTCACTGGCCTTTGAAAAAGCACCTGCTATTTGTTTGTAGGACTAGAGACAGTGTTTGGGTCATGCATCTATTGTTTCGTTAGCTACCTATAAAACTCGTCTGAACTCTTCAAAGGAGATTCATAGAACTCCGTTTACACGTTAAACGGTAGACGAAATTTATTTTGCTCCGTTTCTCGTTTTTTTTTTGTCCAGACGTTGCATTTTTGATTAGTTTTCGTGTTTCCACAAATATCAGTTACTGTTCGAAGTCCTCCAAACCACTGTTTTGTCGACATAAATGTCTCCTGAAGCAATATGACCTCTTTTCAGTTATTTCATGCTTCGATTTTCGAGATCAATAGTTAAACTCGTTACGTTACGTTACGTCGTGTTATGAACTGAATTTCACAGTAACAGATTTTTACCAATCTCTTGGCACGAACGAGGTCGAGCGGTAAGTCACGTTTTTTAAATGTAGTTGCTTTGGTGATTATATCGAGGTTCGCGCGGTTCTAACCGCTAACTTACTGCTGTAATAATCAAACAGGTCATACCTCTTTTAACCTGTGAGGTTCCTGTGGAGTTAAAGATATAAAGAGTTCAGACAGAAAAAAGGGAACGATTAAAAATCAGGGATTTAATTTACAAATTGACGATAAAACATGCCTTACCTTTTTCAACCACTCGCATTCCTGTGAAGTAAAAATATCAAAAGTTGAAGAATAAATTAAAGAGTCAATAATAACACAAAAAACTATCACAGGCATGTTAAAATTCACACGCTACTCAAATGTAATGATAAAACACGTCGTACCTCTCTCAACCATATACACTCCTATGAAGGCAACCAGAAAAAGTTTCAATATTTTAGTTTACATAGTGCCAATAAAACTAGCAATTAAAAGCTTACATAGTTATCAGGATGTTGTGAGTGTGGAATGAAATAGCTACCGAGAAAGGGGGTCAATGACAACAAGACAGTTTTAACTCTTAAAAGTGTTGGAACGATTTTCGTATGACCTTGAAAAATGGTTTCAGTGAGCGTTCGGTATTTGTTTTATCAGCCAATGGATGGAAAAATCAATACATGGCCTCTTCGTTTTCCCGCAAAAGAAAATTCTAATATAGAGAAGGCATTGTTCGATTAGCCAATCGTGTTCCAGTACGACTTCAAAGCGAAGTATCGGTTGATTTCTTGAAAGTTCTCGGACATGAACCTTTTTTTTCACCCGAGCGTTCGCTTAACCAACCAAAAGCCACGCGCGTTTGTATCCATTCGATAAAACCAATCAAATCGCTCTATTTCCGTTCGTTTGTTGTTTCTGTTTTGTTCGCGCGTTTTCATCCAAAGGTCGCTCTAATATAATTATATATATGATGCTTACACCAAAATGCTCGGACAAAATTCAATCCCTTATTTTCTTACGTATCATAGCTCACATGAGGATCAGAGTTTAACATTGATGCACACGTTTACCAGTGCCGGATCCGGACCTTGAGAAAAGGGAGGGGAGGGAAGGGGGGAGCGGTCAAAAAAAATTCTTTTTTCGGCCCTTTGGGCCTCAGTTTGGTCTAAACATAAGGAGGAGAGCGGGCCCCCCGGGCCCATCCCCTGGATCCGCCACTGTTTATCACCCTGCGAGCAGAGCCTTCCTTAGTCTTCTTGAGAAAGAGGAAAAGATTTGCCCCTTTACAAAAAGTCTACAAATTAAAAATTATAGACATTTTGTTATCTCTGTAAAAGGTCTAGTTTTTCCAGTGTGAAAAAGATTTGAGGTGAATCTTGTTTTCTCTCGCCAAACAGGTTTATTCCAGTGGGAGTATCCGTTAATTGATCAACCAAATGGTCATTCGGTTGAGTTCGCTGTACCCAGCGCACGGCTATTAGGCCTGGGCTCGAAACTATATCCTGGCAAGGGTGCACCTTTACATGCTTAACATCATGGGTGACGAATTGCTCCTTAATTTTGGCGCGAAATTTCAGCGTTTTATACTACTACATGAGAAATTTCTGCAATTTGATTGGCTTAGAGCAGTGGTATTTCAGCTTAATTTGAAATACCTACATGTGAAAATTACAAACCTTTTGCGGTTAGTAGTATAAACAAATAATAACATGATTTGTCCGTGATATTTGGCATAAATACCACTAATTTTCTCAAATTTACGTATAACAATTTCGAAATATCACTCGTGGTATTTAAGCCAAATATCACTACAAATCATGCTATTACTTAAACTAATTTATAATTTCATATGTGAAATTACAAAATTGCCATGGCAACCTTCCGTACGTCTCTTGTTTTAAAATGTTTTGAACGAAGATGTCAGGGCATTAAAAGACACTTTAGAAAACCTAAACACATGAAAGAGCACATCAAGAGGGATTCTAACAGGTATTTTGTCCAACAAATTCTGAAAACAGTGGACTTAGCCAAATTTATGCTCTAAACTTTTAAGAGCGTGGAGTTCTCAATCTCGATCGATAAAACCAGGTTAAACAAGTCAGAACGGCCTTGAATGATCCTAAAATTCTACTCTGAAGAACAAGTAAGGGAGAAATTAGGGACCTACGAATGGTGTAATAATAAAACATCTCATACCTCGCTCAACCTGTTACATTTCTGTGAAGAAAAGAACACCAGCAGTAAAGATATATTTTCCTGGCAGCTTGGCAAAATGATCGAATCAGTGTAAGATATCGGGAAAGTGGCATATTGACATATTGACTCCCCTAACCCAACATTTGGTCCTTTGTGAGAAGTTAGTGTTACTGCTGAGTTAGGGGAGGAGTAGGTTATACTGATCTAAATTATCGCCACATAAACTTGAATAAAGCGGCCTGCTGATTTTGCTTTGCTTTGCTTTGTCTGTATGTTTTTTCAACTTCAGCTGAAAGCAATCGGTTTTAATAGACCATCTCCATGTTACTCCAAACCTCTGTTTCAAGGCGACGCTAAGGGCAAAGCCATCGGTATGAAAATGATTTTTTATTGTCACGCGAATTAAACTCATTTTCACGAGAACAGTTTTGCAGTTAGCCTTGTTTTGAAAGTGCGAGTTTTTGAAACTCGGAAATGGCCTATTTTCTTGAGTGCTGCCCATCCGAACTCCTTTTAAGCGGGTTTTCTGTATTTGTCATGAGTTCTTCTAACCTTTGAAACAGCTATTGAGCACTTCAGTCAATTCTGAGATCGTTTGGTAAATAATGAAATTGCTTAAAAAAGGGTAACCTAGAAATATTACTTAAAACCCTATAGCACCTCTACAAAAGACTTCATTTCTACTCTGGACAAGACCTTTTTACCTCTTGCTGCGTTCGGATAGTTTCATTTTTATCCGTCATCGCAATTCCCATTTCAACCAAGTGGGATTGTAACTGAAAAATGAAAAACAAGAACAACCTTTTGTTTATAACAATACTCGTATTAAAGTTGGTTCACTTTTATCCTCATGGCAGAGGACAGATTTTTTTCTCAAGCACGTTAATGATTTACGAAGTGAGATTGAAAGAATTCAATACCGAGAAGGTGGTTTGGATATCGGATACCAGTTACCATTATTTTTTTTATCTTTATCCGTCAGTACAATTCCCATTTCAACGATAAAATTTTGCTAATTAACTTTACAGTTGAATTTCCTCATCAGGTCTTTTTTTCATTTAAGAAGCTACGCATCAACAAAGACACATGCGCACAAAGCAAAAGAATTGAGTTCAAGAATTTCGCATTTGGCTTTAAGCTTTAAAATACCCTTGCTCCAGAGGTCCGTTCTCAAAATACCTAGGATAAAAAAACCGTGCTTACCGTTTGATAAAGCTCCCGAAACGATTATGTAATTTTTTTCTCTCGGTACGCGCGGACGCGGCTTCGCCACAAACTACCAGGAATTGGATAACAAAAAAATAACCTCTGGAAACCACGTAGCTTTAAAAAGGTGGACGAAGACAATTGGCTAAGGTCCACGACTAGCTGCCACTCCTCACCTCTTCATTCTTCCGTTCCAGGTTGCTTATCCGCACAGACTGGGCCTCATTTTCAAGTCTTCTTCTCTACAAATACATATAAAGTAGTAAAAAACACTCAAGTAAGAAATATCTTACCACAGTCAATCCTTTATTAATCTGTTAGCCTCAGTTGGGTAGATGGCAGCATAAGATGCACATGAAGTGTAGCTGTATTGTTAGTTTCATATGTATTTTAAGAATGTGAATCGTTTGGTTAAGTCTTGAGATATCCTTTATATTACACATTTCGACAGTTATTAGCTATAGGGTTTCTGAATGTTATTACTTCTAAATAGTGGAAAACATAGTACTTTATGACTCACTCTGTTTTTTAAGTAAACTATCGGTGAGTGTAAAGAAAATGTCTAGACGTTTGCAACGCTTTACATCAAGAAAAGAAAGTCATCTTTTATCATTTTACTTTGAAAAATTCAACCAACATACTTCAACATGATCGAAAATATTCTTTTTTTTTTAGAAATACATATCAGCAAAGTCCCAGCTAAACTACTCCTCAAAAGCGTTTACTTTTTTTTAAGAATTCCCATTGAAACTTCATGTTCTTCTTTCAAATGGTCTTCAAATAACTTCTCAATCTCCCTTATATTAATGGAAATCACATTTTTTCTTTATCGATTTCTATCGATTGGTATCAGATATGGATATCAATTGATTATCGGTTTATCGATTGACTACGCCTGGTGTAACGTGCTTGTCTCGGGTCATGGCTAACAGAACGAGGTATTTCTGCACTATTTCAGCACTAGACCTCTGCTAACTGTAGTGGACTCCAATGGACTCCACTGAACAACTATTCTGGCCTCCCCGACATTAAAATGTTAAAACTTCCGGGTTTCCTTTCACGGCTAGACATGTACTCCAATGGACTCGATGCGGCTCCAGTGGGCGATTTTTCCACCCACCCAAACGTTTCACGACTACACTTCCAGTAACTCCAATGGACTCTACATTGGATGACTGGAATCTGGTGGAGTGTACTGGACATAGATGAAACTGAACCACGTAAGTGACTTTTGTGACTTAACTCACTTAACGGGGCCCTGGACATGGGGTCACTGGAAACATAATATCATTTGCTCCTGTAAAATCTGCAGGGTGGCCAAATTAATTGCTACCCTGGCGGGTGAGCAAGACTGAGCATGTGCCATCCATAAAGACATAAAATGTTGTAAAATTTTTCTGACAGTTTAACTCAGATATTTTGCAAGGCAGAAACCCATCAGTTGTATTGTGGTCAGTACTAATAGTCTTTTTACACCCTCCAGTAAAGTAAAGTGTTTGGTTCACTTAATTTCAATACCTCTTGCAGCCTGTTATACTCCTCTTCCTTTGAATCAGCCCACTATAATAAAAGAGAATCAACCAATATTTTAAAATTTATTGCAGTTAAAAGCCGTGGGTTACACATTACGTACGTTTACAACTGCGTTAGGGGTTCCTAGGGCTTAGCTTTATAATGAGCATGGGGAGGGCGATATATCTCGATTATCCTAAAAGGGAAGGGGGAAAGTCAACGAAATGATTCAATGGTCGAATGGAAATGGTCGATTTGGGGATCATTTCACGGTTGGGGATCATTTCGGGGTCGGGATCATTTCGGGGGCTGTACAGACCTCTGTACAGACCGCAAAATTGAGATTGTTTGACACTGTGTGTTACTAGCCGGATTTTTGACAGCTATTATAAAAGCTAAGAGTACAGCCATTGTTTTTTCTCTTCTCCTCCTTTCCCTCTCCTCGCTCTTTCTTTTCTGCTTTCCTTTTCCGTTGTTACTGTGACGCCTTTTACTCAAATGACTGCAAATTTCGTTAGGTTGGTTTTCAAAAATCGAATAGATTAACATATATAAAAATATTTGTTCTTTCTTTATCGCAGAAACAATTATCTTTTGCATAAAAAAATAGTGCAACGGCATTTTTTAAGGAAATATTCTTCCCAGGGGGTACCAAACCAAGTTGGAAAATTACGGAAATTCGGGGGGGTGGGGTTCTAAAACAACAGTGCCCTCCGTGGGGAAGGGGGTATGGATATTTTTTGGAACTACACATTAAACGGTTGCAGACTCATAACCAAAATAACCTACAATTAATACTAACAGCAATTACAAATTAAGGGAGAGAGCGTCCCACATGTAGTGCTTTTACTACATGATTATTCACGTGACTTTTGTGTAAACGAATTACGAGGATGAAACTTCAAAGTGAAGCTCTAAAGGCCTTAAGAAAATCCTTGAAAAAGTTTGTGCTGGGACAGCCAAAGTAGCCTCCACAATGGTGAAACGTTCGATAAGAGACGTAATCAGGACTACGCTCTACAGGAGCAATAAAATCGCACTCATATGTACCCTCTACATTACAAAATTAAGATCCTAGTGATGATGCAAAAAAAAAAACGTTGAATTTGTGTACTGATCAGGCTTTTGATTATACAATCACGAGAAGTCGGCAATTTTTTTTCTGTTGTCATATTCAGTGCAGTTGATAGTTGATAGTAAATATTAATACTCAATTTTACCTCTTGGGTCATCCTGATTAACCGTTGGCTTTCAGCCTCCAACTCTGCACTTTGATTTAAAAAAACGGTAAACTGAAAAAAAAAATGGTATCAAAAATTTAAAGTACTGCATCTCAAAACTCGTGGTATTAAGAGAAGGGAGAGCTGAAGCCCCTCTTGGCAAGTATAACAGAAAAAATTACATGTACACGATACAATGTATGTTTATTGATTATAAGAAAAGTCTTTCAAAGACACTTAACTGTGTATTTATCTAATAATGGCTGATGGCAGGGTTGGAAATAAGGTAAAATACAATATATTATTGCTCTACCACACCAAAGAATCAGTTGTCTACTCAACAGAGAAGATAAGTGTGACGTCATAAAAATCAAAATTTGTGAAATTATGGGATAGGTTGGTATTTCCAGAAAGAAGGAGATGAAAAATATCTACTTGCCAAAATTCAGCCTGTTAGTGCAAATTGGCGGGGAGATGTAAGCACCAGTTTGCTCTGATGACTCCATAAAAATCCTTCTTAAATAGGCTTGGATCATGACGTCTACAATCCAAGCCAGAATTTTAGAAGGATTTCTATGGAGTGATCAGAGCAAAGCAGTGCTTTAATATATCCTTACCAATTAACTGCACTAACAGGCTGAATTTTGATACAATGTACTGTGAATACATTTGTTTCCAAATGTCTCTAGTACAACAGCAACTTATAATCATCTACAGTTAAAAGTTGGATATACTGTGTGGCACAAAATTTTTGCAGGTTCTAATTTTTACGATTTTTTCAGCGAGCGGCAAAAATAAGTTACCACAAACATTTTTCCAGCAAAAATTTACTCCAGAGTAAATAATATTCTCTAACTTAAATTCGCTACACAAAAATACAGTGCTAAGAAATGGTGTCTGTTTAATTACAACTTGTCTCTTTCATTCAAAAACAAAACGGTATACAATGATTTACTTGTTTTAGGAAAAAGGGTACACACCGTACTATTGTTTAAGAAAAATTAATGTATTTCCATTGCACGTGCTCAATAAAAACGAAAATATCAGTCAATTCTGAGTACTGGTTACTTTGTGAAAATTACTAAAATTTTAAATTCCCAGCAAAAAAAAAACAACAATCTGTCCTAATCGCAAAAATCATTCAGTTAGTTCCCACAAAACACAAAAATTGCCAATCCGCAAAAAATAAACTCCCGCAAACATTTCGTGCCACACGGTAATAAGACACTAGGATATGTATGTTACCAAATACCTCTTCCATTTGCTCTTCTAATCGAGCACATCGAGACCTACATTCCTGTACGAAAAATTCAATCAGTTGATGAATAAATTACGTTCATGTTAATTGGACCAAATAGTTGGTTGCCATGCAGTTAAAGATTTTGTGTACTGAAAGACAACTTTACAGACTGAACTACAAGTGCATAGCTAGCTAATCTACACTGTGTAGAAACACAACTAAGGGAGTGTCCTTAAGCTGGACAAAACTGACCCTGACATTTTGATTGTAGATGCTGTATATCTTCAAAAAAAAAAATAATAAAACCAACGTAGGTTTCCCACTCAAAACAATCTAAATTTGAATTCAAATATTTGCAATCAATTGTCTGACAAAACGTGGCTCATTCAGCTAATGCATTTGCTTTTAATTAACATTTACACCGTCAGTTTAAAGGCTTCTGTAATAGTCTGATGAATAGTAGATGCACTGTTCCCAATTATATCATAAAATTTTACTTTATTTTGAAAAATAAGGGAAGATTTTAACTTGAACTGCCTTCCTCTTGTCACATTAACATGAGAGTTCGAAGGCAGAAAAGGAATGGTGTGGAACTTAAATAAAGGCTGAGAGGTTAAGGTTGAGAGGCCTTGAAAGTCCTTGTAGCTTTAATTGTCATGGTTGAAATACAATGACCTTCAGTTTCCAAGCACCTCTAAGGTCAGTTACTGGCATTTATTATAATGGTCTCCCTTTTCTAAATTTTATCTTGGCAGTCTATAAGTTCTCACTTCTTCACACTCACATTACACAATTTGAAGTAACTCATCTCCAATAAACTCACCGCACTGGAAATTTTTGAGGCCTTGGAGCTTTGGGCAAAGGAGGGTCCAGGTCCCCAGGCTCCCGGGATCTTCCACTACACTGGACGGTAAGTGCCTCTTTAATGTTAGTGCTACATGTTCTACATTGTGTAACAACCATAAACACCTTATTGGTTTAAATTGTACTAGTGCTTCTAACAGTGAATTTGCTGGAAAATAGATTGCATAGATTGGAAATTTTAATAGCCAAGAGATCTAGCTGACTTACCAACAATGCCTGCTGCAAACGGCTGTTTCGATCTTGAACATGTTGACAAATTAATATCTGGTTCTGTAACCTCTAAATTATCGATTAAAAATATAAAATTCATCATCATCAATCCTTCAAATTTACCAAATAACATAAATAATTAAAACAAAAAAGATTTACCACAAGAGGCTTTCTTGAAACAAAGATCGGTAGTTGATAACACGGTACATTAAGTTAAAAAGAAGCCAGCATAATTTGAACTCCATACATTACGGGACCTTTTTCGATAAAAAGGTAACAGTAAAACAGTATAGCTAATTGTAATAGCAAGTTTTGCATATAGGCATAAATACCAGGAGTGATTCAACACATTAGGGTATTTAACTGTTAAAAATACTACAATAGATATGAGTATTAAAATAATTACGTCATAATTAAGCAGATTTACCTCCACTCGGAAAATAACATTTGCATGAAGCTCCTCAATTTTCTAGAGATGAAACAAAAAAATCCATGGCATATTAGAAGTGCCTCAAAAATGGTCAAATCACCAAAAACCACATGCAATTATACCATTATTAAAAAAGACTCATTAGCAAATAAAATTTACCGTTTGCAGTTCTTCAACAAGACTAACATTTCCCGAAGCATCATAATTCTTTGTTCCATTGCAATGTCCAGCTGGAGGAAAACATGCTGCTGTATTAAATGTAGTTGCTGTTCTTGAAGAAGCTTCTGACCCATGATTGGAAATAGATGGGCCAGACATTATTGAGAAAGATGAACCTGCATTGTAACCTTCTTCAGTTTCAGATGTTTCATTCTGTTGCTGGTCTGTTTCACTGCAGATGCTGTCAAATGACTGTGACTGGCTATCAACCAATTCATTTGACTGGTTTGAGACACTGGTGGTAAACGACGCACACTGGCTTGAGATGCTCAGAGGTTCACTGGTTTGCAATGCTGCTGGTGCAATAGCTTCTGACACTGGTCTTTCATGGCACACCATGGGTGCACCAGTTTGAGATGATGTTGAGCATTCAGCTGTTTTGATAATGCTGTTCAGTGATGATGATGATGAAGATGAAGCATCATTATCACCTGACAACATAACACTGTCGTCACTGTTCAGAACTGAGAAAAAACCACTGTCGTCTACTTCAGCCCCTGGGGCTCTAGTAGAGCTTTGACTGGAAAAGTTTGTTAAATGGTCCTCTGAATGCATACATGTATCTTCAGGAGAAAAAATGGGCAAACCCCATGAAGGCTGTTCTCCAGATGAAGGCATTTGTGTAACTGGTGGAGACAAGGGTCCCTCTGTCACTTTTACAGCTGCTGCTGCAGTGTCAAGTGCACTATTGTCTAGTTCATTAACAATAATTGCAAGTTGATCAGACAATTTTGCTGCCATTGCCACTGAGTGTTGATAATGATGCACACCACCTTTTTCAGTTTTTGTTTCCTTAGGAGACACATAATCTGAGAAAGAGTAATAGATTAAATGAATAATAAATACAAATGAATCAGTTCAGAATTGTGTGCTGGCAAGCATGAAAATAAAAAAACCATGCCACATTTCCTATTAGTTATGTTTCTATTCACTTCAACATTAACAGCAACACACAAAAAGACATTACTATAATTTGCTCATGAGCACATAGTTCAATGTGCTTGAATCAGAATGTGCTTTTGGCTCATTAATAAGTAAACCAATATTTTAAATGTACATAAATACAACTGTGACAGAAAATAAATAATTCAATTATTCCGAAATTAGAATAAGTGTATTTACCATTTTAATTTCCTCTGTCTATAAAAATACAGTACATCAACCAAGAAATATTATATCAAACTATGTAAATGCAAAATCAATTTGAACAAGAGATGGCATGAAATGATTGAATATAACTGCTGAGTTAATTGGTGAGGTACATTAATAATACATGGTAGAGTGTACATGTACATAAATGCCATTAGATGACAACATAAACAAGACCCCATAATCGGGGTACACTGGGCTGTCAACTGAGCAATGCCGTGGTTTCATATTTTTGGAAGTACAAATTATAATATTATTATACTATTTTCCGAATTGAGTGTATAGGTACTCCTACCCCGTGGAAAGAGATAGGAATACACGTACTGTCATTTGAAGTTGTACAATTGACTAAATTAGTCCTGGGGCCAATTTCAGAGAACTTTTATGAGTGTAAATTACCAGTCTGGTCATTGTTTTAGAGTCTGGAAACAATAGCTAATGAACAGTCATGACTAGTAATAAACTCCATGCAAGAATGGTGTTTTTGTTGCAAGTTTGCAAGATATTAGTCATCCAAATATGTTCTGCGTAGCAACTTGTCCAGTTTAATTTGATTGTCCCCAACAATAAAAATCAGGGGTATAAGCCCAACTATGAATGACTATGAAGTTTAGCTAGGGCTAATAAGTTTCCACCGAAATTTTATTTTTGTTCCAAATCTGTTTGTATATTTCTATAATGAGTGGCCCCCTCCCCTCAAAAGCCAAACAGGTTTAACTTTTTCAGTAAAAGAGGACCTTCAGCCAAAAGGCTAACTATATGTGATGCATTTCTCCCTATTTTTAGGCCCAAACTAACAAAAACTAACAAAAAGGTGGATACCGTTTTTAAGTCGGGGCTGTAGTAACTTCTACTATAATTACGAATAAAAATAGGCAAGTCTGCCTTTTGAAATGAGAAACGATTGGCCTTATTTTTAACTGTGACATTTCCACAATGCACCCCCTTCCCCCAATCCCTCTGTAATAGCATGACAGTATAACGTGACTAGTTTGATCTAACTGGTAATTCCATAACTTATTGTCATTCTATGTTTATAAAATGTGACAGGCTCAATTTGCTGTCACATTTTGGAAGAGAAAGCTTGCATCCCTCTGCCATTTTGCCTTATTGCTGCACAGACGAGGTGACTCATTTTTAGATTGGGTGCCACAGCCAGCCCAATAAAGAGTACGTAATGCAAGTTTTTACACCTAAATTAATGAGCAATAGACTACTCACCAGTACTCGACGCCCCTGATTCATCATTTTTTTTCTCTGTGCCGGTCTGCAGATTGGCCATGGCTAATTCAGCAGGACCTACATGTACATTGTACAGCCAGAAAATCAATTTGATTACTTTACAATCACTAAAAAATTAATATTAGGACAATGAGTATGCATGCATGTATATCACTGCTACATCTGTAGAGTCTAAACCCTGGTATAACTGTCAATGCATATAAAGTACACTTATAATCCACTGATTAATTTTCACATGATTTATGGGCTGATTTGGGTCATGTGGTAGCAAATCGAAGGGTGGGTATCAGGCAATACACCCCATTCACATCGATATTTGCCCTGCGATTTTTCAGTGGTGCAAAAGTATGACAAAGTGAACAAAGTGAGTCTCTTTTCAGTTTTTATTTTCTTAATAATTTCAAATCGAAGCAGTAATAAATATTATAAAAACAAACTTGTTTTGTGTAATCCAGTTACACTAAAATTTTGAACTAGACACAACTTTCTCAGATCTCCCAACATGTTAGAAATTAATCAGAGGATAAAATAAATAAACCCCTTCTGGCTTGCTCCTATATCGGCGGATAATGCCCTTGGCTGAAAGATTGTCCTCAAAATTTCACATTTGGCCGAGAAGAGGACAATCTCTCAGCTGCAGGCATGATCCTCTGGTATACCAGTCACCACAAGAGGTTTATTTTAATACCAAATAATTATAGAACTGACAGATCCAATTAATCAAATGGATAGAAATTATAATGAATTGGCATCAATGCTTAATGCACAAGCCATGCATTATGACGGTATTAATAATATTATCATTTCCAGGGGTTTCATTCCCGGAGGCAGGGATGGGTGGGGGGGGGGGGGGGGGGGGGGGATTTGGAGAGTGCATATAATTTAAATAAATACAAACAAGAGGTTTTTTTAAATAAAAAAAAAAAAAATAAAAAAAAAATAAAAAAAAAAAAAAGAAAAGAAAAAATTATAAAAAGATTGATTTATGTTTAAAGAACACAGTGTTGTTGTTGTGATTTGTATAATTTTTGGTTTGGGGGGGGGGGGGGGGGGGGGGGGGGGGGGGGGGGGGGGGGGGGGGGGGGGGGGGGGGGGCATCTAGGGGGTTTGATATATCCCACTCTCTGTCCAGGCATTCTCTCACAGTTACCATGTGACTATCCAAAACCCAAACATAATTGTGGTGCAGTTTAGGAGTGGGACTGTAACAATCCAAGCAGTATGGATATTTTTAAATTATTGCAACTAATGAGCATTAAAATGTGCAATAATTATTTTTTAATAAGGTAAAAAGTACATTCAAGTCCATCAAATTCTCAATTTAGGTGAAAAAGTAGCTGACTTCTCTGAGCAAAGTTGCCAATGTGTTTCGGGCATTCTCTCGCAGCTACCATCATGTGACTATCCAAACCCCAAACATAATTGTGGTGCAGTTTAGGAGTGGGACTGTAACTATCCAAGCAGTATGGATATTTTTAAATATTATTTAAATTATTGCACATTGAAATGCACAATAATTTTTTAAAATTAAGGTAAAAGTACATTCAAGTCGATAAAATTCTCAATTTAGGCAAAAAAGTCGCTGACTTCTCTGAGCAAAGTTGCCAATATGTGTTTCATCAGTTGTCAGTGCCAATCTGTGTTGAAACCCTAGCCTGCATTCCTTTATTATTTTCATTTGTTTATGCAAGCAGAACATAACCAGGGATCAGAGACATTCAGAAGGCACCACTTGCCACTTTAAGAATGACTGGCATGCTGCTCCCTATAACGTGAATGTGGATCTCTAAAAACAGGCTACCCTACTACATGTGTAGTGCCTTCTGGCATTTAGCAACTTAATAACTAAGGTATTGAATATGAAAAAAAAGTGGGTTTAAAATGCAAACGAAATTCACAGCACAGGCACTTCATGATAACAAAAAAGTTAATACAGTTCAACCACCATTATGCAGCACCCTACTAGCTACATATAACTGCAAGTGTACTTGTGTAAAGAGTTTCAGTTTCTTGTACTTTAAACAAGACACTACACTGCACTCTTTTTACCTTGACAATGGCGTTGCTCATTGAAATGAGCTAGGACTTGGAGAAAGTCTTCTGAATATCCAAGCCCTTGAAATATAGTTTCCCATGCTTGTAAAGAAAGCTGTCCATTTTCCTCTTCATAAGTGTTCACTACTTCATGAACAGTCTTGAGATGCTGAGAAGCTTTCAGTTCTACTCCAAGGAGCTTTAGTAGAGCATCTAAATCAACCTCTTTAGATTCCAATACATTCAGCAACTGTTCTTTAAGTGGAAATGATGGATAGCTTGGAGCATTAGATGAAAGCCCTTCAAGTAATAAATTCAATAAAAATAAAGCATTATTTAAATACTGTATAAAGCAAGTTAAACAATGCATACTTTAAAGTATGCATATTGCACCTCCAGCATGCATGTACAAACATATTTGCAATATACTCGATTGGTACTCAATCGACAGTCAACCGACACTCGGCTGATATGTTGACTGAGAGTCGACCGACCCTATAAAGCACAAGATCCAAACAATTAACTAACATAAAGGTTTTTAAATTATACCTTACCAGTTAAGTTATCCATGACTTGTATACATTATATTGTACGTTAAAACTAAAAAGCAAAAAAGCAAAAACCACCTAAATTACAATTCAAAACCCATCCATAAGGGCAGCTAGTTATATTTTTAACACTGAACTATCTAAAATTTGATTTTCCAGTTGCATTAACTACTTTTCCTCTTTTTTAGTGATTTTTTTCAGTGATTTCCTTAGTAAGAATGCAATTGCCCTTGAAATAGTTTCTTTTTTTTTTAATCAAAATGAATTGTTTTAATTGAAATGAAATGTTCTTAATTTGAATAATTTTTGTTTAATTAAATGAATTTTTTTCTAATCAAGACTAAGGGGTTTTTTTTAATGAAAGGACTTGTAAATAGTGTTTTGACAAAATAGTTTTTTTTAAAGTGAATTAGTTGTAAATAGGATTTTAATGGTTAGCATTGTTATCAATAAAATATGTTCAATTATTAAAAAAGAAAAAACATACTTTTCAGCTCACTGGTCTAGCGAAGGTTTTTCATTGAAAATGGATATAATGTGCATTTCGTTGGCTCAGTCAGGCTCTACAAAGGCTGTGGAAGAAACACAGTCACTGTATTTACTCTTGAATTAAAAGCCATAACCCCAAATAATAGACACTACCCCTTCATAAATATGGCAGATGGAAGCAAGTTAAACTATCAATAACATTATGCAACACTCAAAGAAACAGAGATGTACAGTTAAACCCTGGGGGATACTCTTGGGAATTCTTGGTGGGGGTGTGCTGCTTGGTTTTCCAAATCCCGACCCTATTTCAGACCAAAAAATGTTCTTTTCCACACCTGATTTCAGACCTGGCCTTATAAGGCTGAAATTATGTCATCATTACTAGATTAGAGCGCAAACAAAAAAATTCTTCGAATCCACATATTTCTTTGTCTTTCTTACTCATTTGGAGCTGAAATGATAAATATGTTCATACACTCCCGTAGATCCCTCGAAAGCCATACCCAATTCCAGACCAAAATAGACAAAGTGTATACCCGTTTTCAGAACAAATACATTGTTGAAGGTCCAAAACCCATACCCTTTGGGGTGGCACATACCTATATGGTTAATATAAAGGAGAACCCCCCCCCCCCCCCACCCAGAGTTAAAAACTATTAAGCAGTCACCTTTGGGGTAATGGCAAGTTGCTGCTTGATAACAATAAAAATAAAGACTTTATTAATGTGTCAAATGCCTCGCTTTAATACACAAAGTGTAAACTAATTGTGGATACCTAAAGAAAGGGTGCTATGTAGGATTCGAACCCCGCACCTTTGCCTCGATGCGACATCTCCTTACCACTACACTATTAGGGATTACTACTGGTGACTTAACAGAGGTTCGTCAGAAATTAACATACCGTTAATCTTTTGCAGAAACATCAGCTTATTCTGAAACAAACACCTTTAGAGCCTTCTGACAACTTTCACACCAGAGACAGCTATAATATGGAACAAAAAAAGCAGGCTGTTAAACAAGCAAATTCTTGTGATCAAAGTCTCCACCTCAACCCTTGGGACCTCCCTCTATCCCAGGGGTATCACACTGATAAGGTGCACTGGCAAAAATACACCATGCGAGCAGAGCCTTATTTGTCTTCTTGATTGATGAGCAAAAAAAGGAGGCTCCACCTAAATCGTGTCCAGCCTTTGAAGTCACTGCAGCCTTATTTTCTGGACTAGTCAATCTTGTCCTCTACCACCAAATAGGTTTTCTGAGGGCGACTATCTGTTTATTGATATACTGATGGTCTTAGGTGAGCCTACTGTACCAAGCACATGGATATCAAGCCTGGTTTTGCAACTGTATCACAGCAACAAGCAACACGTGTTTAAAAAAAGAGCTTACATGATTCATGCAATCTTTTCTGAGGGCACCAAAATCCAGCAAGTGAAGCAAAGGCTCTGCTAGCAGGGTGCCATGAATAGGGACAAAAATAGCAAAATTATATATCAAACGTTATCCACCTACAAATCAGATGACACTAAACACTGTAGAAGAAAACAAAACATAATATCCTACACTTTTAGCCATACGACTGGCGGTGTACAACAAACGCAGACTGCAGACGTGCAGATTGGTGGGTGAATGAGGTAAACATTGTTGTGAAATGTTTTAACAGATTCCCTATCCCTAAACGTTAAGTCTCCTAAAAGTCTAGTTTAGGGATAGGGAATCTGTTAAAGCATTTCACAATAATGTTTAATTACCTTGTTTACCTGTGAGTTTGCAAGAATGCGGTCTGCGTTTGTCACACACCGTATACTACTGATTAGCTCTTTATTTAAGAGCTTGGCTGTTCTTGTACAAGTCCAAGTTTAAAAAAAACAAACACACACACACCAACAAAATTCGCGAGAAATTGGCCGGCCATGTGGTGATATGATTCACATTTACGCCATGAAAGAGGAGGTCAGTACACGCAGCACACGTTTCTATGGACAAGTTTTATCACTGAATGGATGAATCGATGAAAGCAGCGAAAATTTAGCAATAAGATTTAAGCCATCAGCTCGCATTTAAGTAAACAACAACAAATGAAAATGGCGGATCGTCAATCGATCAGGATCGCATCGAGAGCTTATATTCAGTGAACGATCAATGCACGCTACAACAGATACCGCAGGCCAGACTACAAGAGAGGAAATACGCTAGTACGAGTGGAACAAATGCAACTTTTCAACGACGAACTGGCAAAAAAATAAATAAATAAAAACGCTAAGTTAGCACATTACCTTTAAAGATGTAAATTGTTCGAAAACGGGTTGGAACACCTAATTAAACACCCATCAATCGCTGAGGGAGGCGAACGAAATGCAATGTAAACCAAACCACTGACCAAAGGAACAAATTTCCTTTACAAATCGAGTAAAACAACAGGTCCGTAGTAAAAATTGTGACTGTCCGTCACAGCTGACCACTGATATGTGAATGGGCATGTAACTGTCAATGAAAATTATAATATCATTTTCGTGTCCAATGAAAATACAAAAGGTTCTCTTTCCCGAGGCACGACGACTGTGTGCGAGACTGTGGGAAAAAACGGCGGGAAAAAGCAAATATGAATCTGTGGTATCCTTGGCCAGCGGAATAGCTATAACAAAACGATATTTACGTCAAATATGGCAAACAAAGTGTACTAAATCAAACGAAACATCTTCCTTGTTGCCAGGCACTGCGCGTCTCCTCCCTCAAGACCTGTTGTCACGGTGTGGTGTGCCCCAGGAGACCATTTTTGGGCCCCTTATGATTTTTATTGTACATACCCTTTAGCAACTGGGTATGAGTCTCCACTTACATGACAACTGAGCTTGCAACTGAGGCAGCTCGGTTAGCTGGGATCCCAGTATTGTGACGCCGGGATCCCCACAGGCTATCCAGACTCTGTCGGAGTTTGTAAGACTTTTTAATTAATTTCAGAGAATGTATGAAAATAAGTAAAATATGTCCTCAATTAAAAGAAATAAAAATGAATCAACTTGTGGTTTTGTTTTGTTATTTACTGTCTCTTTGCTTCTAGAGCCATTTGGAAGCCGCTTTGTTGACGTTTAAGATTCTGAGTTGTACTTTTATTTCTTACTGTGAGTACAACACAAAATTTCCTCGCAGTTTCCCTATCCCTACCTTGGCTTGTTTGTGCGCCCCATCAAAACCGTCATGCTACACAGGCTAAGAAAAATTTGCAGATTCAAAAATATCCGTATACGTGTGAAGTGGGCCTAACTAACCCAAGGGTTTTAAGATAACTGTCCTACACGCAGTTTTCACGTGAAGATGTTGGACTCTGTCCCTTTTCGAACGGTTCGAACATGAAAGAATGAAAAATACCAGTAAATTACCCATACTGTAAAAGATAAAAGAAAGGGCCACAACGCATTCATTGCAAGAGGTTTATTCCGTGCACATATTTATACATGCTAATATAGACCATGAAAGACAAACTTTTGTCACAACTCATTAAAAAATGGATAATTATATTCTAAAACACATGTACACTGCTCCATGCTATAGTGCTTGTTACAACACAGTTAATGAGTACTGTCACAAAGAGAAATTTGACGTCTGTACACAAGGCTATGTGGCTTGACTCTAGCTTGTGGGTATGCTGGTGGAGCCTGGTGATTTGCTTTTACCTTTGGGGAGACAAGAAATTCTTAGTTTTTGCAAAAAGAATAGCCGTACGCGTCACAGTGGCTTTCAAGATTAAGAGCTTACCTTTTTTTCTTAGGGCAGAGGCTTTGTATCAAAATTTATGTTGCAACAGGCAAGTTCTCATTAATGCCTAATTACGTTAATTTGATTCATTGACATACAAAGAAAAAAAATAGACGTTTTAAACATAATCTTTTTAAAAAGGAAACAGTTTACAGAGCTTATTTAACATAGTACTCTAAGCAATTTTAAGCTCCTGTGTGTTCTACTTTAGTCAGACATCAGTCATAAATACGAAATTTCTGGGAGGCAAAAGTGCGAAACACCTGTACATTCAAATTTTACCTTCCTCAGTACTTAATTGCAGTGCCACATAAATTACTACGCCCTTTCAATAGTGACATGCTGGTTAAGAGGACTGAGGCAAGGATGCTTATTTAAAAGGCTAAAAAAATATTCATTGAAAGAAGAGACTGGCCTAATTATGATTTTAAACTCAAATGAGAACTCTTCAGATTTAGTCGAGACCTGAAAAGACATAGCTCAAGGCGTGCATTTAACACATGGCAGACCTTTGTCTTAAACATATCATTGTGAAACTTGAAGTATTGCAAACTATGTACAGAGGGTACCAAAGGTATTTCTTGAGTTTGGAGGGATGCCTCTCGGCCTCTGTGTCAGCCACAGGCCAACATACCTTTGACTGAAGGCCAAGTATGAAAAGTCTCTGGCACCAAGAGTAGTGAAATGGATGAGTTACAAAAAATAAAGTTAAAACAGTCATGAAACCAGGGCTAATATCAAGTTGAAGTTAATGAACTAAGCCAATTAATGATTAATGACATGCAGCATTTTAATTGATGATTGAGTTGATAATATTATAAATTAATATGTACAAGTAGATCTATACATCTAGTACCGTGCATACATATTAATTTATTATAATTATTATCAACTCAATCATAAATTAAAATACTGTATGCCATTATTATCAGAACTAGTTCAGTAGTGTTAAAATGACATTTTCTGTCTTCCTTTTCTTATACTATTTAGATATGCACACATACAGAGCAGAGGTTCTATTTTTATAGGAAAAGTACTTATTTATTGTGCCAAAAAAATTATATAATGTTGTGACATAGGCCTAGTGTGGAAGTGTTGCTCCAGGTCATAGACCACTGATTTGCAGAAATCCATTTTTTTGTTTGTTTTCAATTTCCTCAAATCCCAATCCTAGTGGTAAAAATGTCTCATCAACACCCCAGTCCCTTTTTCCCATTGTTAAAATAAGCAATTTCCAGCTTCAAATTGCTTTCCCTCCCCAAACCCAACTCCCTCCCTCCAGGTACAGTTAAATACAATAATAATACTAAGAGACCAGGGATCCATATTCCCAGTCGTCCCAGATGACTACAATCTCATATGGATGATTAAGAAAACTTCAAAAGTCACCCTTCAGACGAGGGAGGTTTTGTTCAACCACAAAATCGTTTCAAAAATTCTTATATATGATTTTATACATTTTCCCAGTGTTCTGATAACTGTCTCGTCCACTCCATTAGAATAATGGAGGATAACAAGCACCTTTTGTCTGCAATGAAATCGTAAGTTTGGGCACCATCTTTGATGGTGCAGTATTTTCTATGAAACGATCACAGGCTCAGTTTTTTGTAAAGTAGTGCATATAGAGGCCATTTGTAGAAAATGTGATGCCCAGCACTTTTTAAGATGTTGCGTTTTTTAGAAGGCATTTCGTTGCCTTTGGTTTATAAAAAAGGTGAAGCAAAAGCTGGTGCCTTATATGCATAAGACGTTTCGCTACCTTTGACAAAAAAAAAAGGTGATCAATGCAGGAGCCTCTGCCTTTTATGGGGGAAAATGTAAACACACCATCTTGCCTTCATGGCAAACTGACCAACCATGACTACTTGTAAAATGTAAATAAATTATGTTTAGCCTTGGCCTGTGGCCTGTTGTACTTAACAGTTTAGTTAAAACCCTTTCTTAGTAACTACAATGAAAATAACATGCTAATCAGAAATGTTCAAGTTGCACACGATTTTGTCACCATTCTTTTATATTATTAATTCTGCACTTTTGTCTGGGCAACCCAAATTGTAACCAGGCAAGTATGCCATCAGGTTTACTTGCCTGGCTGATGACTGTGAGAAAAAATGAATATGGATCCCTGAGAGACTGTATATTACTTAGAGGTGTGAGACTCTGATACATTTCTCCTTAAACTGTGCAAGGTTTTAGCCATTTTATACCCCTGATATAAGTTTCCTGGGAACACACCATCTGATTTTAACACATGCTTGGTTAGTTCTTGAAATTTGTCTGCTATTTTTCCAGAAACTGGCTGCTCCGAGGTGCAATAATACATTCTCTTGTGTGGTTCATATTTAGGTGGAGGATTTTCATGCCCATCAGTCCCCTTTGAAATTATCACTTTCTTGTGAATGAACACTGCCGTGTAACAGTCATCAATTTGTGAATGGTCTCCAAAAAGGTCTTTTTCTCTGATGTAATAGATTTCTGCGATATCAGTACGATTCTTCAGACAAGTCTCTGACCAATAACAACCTGGAAGAGCTACACTTGCATATTTATTCAGTACACGACACTCATTTTCCTCTATGTTGTGACCAAGGTACAACGAACCACCAGGTTTCAAGATTCGTAAGAGTTCTCTAACCAGATTGCACTGCATCTCTTTATTCCCCAGATCTTTAAGCCCTCCATAGTTAATAGCATGTGCAAACTGCAATCCATCCTTCAAGAAGTTTAGTCTTCCATCAGGGCCGATAGTTCCAAATGTTTCTGGCGTATCATTAAATAACCTCTTAGCATATTCCACAGCATACTGATTGGCATGGGCACCTCCAATTTTCATCTTTGGATACTGTTTCCTAATGAGTTTTAGCCACTCATTGCATCCAGTGTTACTATCAAACACAGAGGTGTCTTCGGCATCTAAATTTAATTGTTTTGCCAATTCAGGAATCCAGCTTTCTTCCACAATTGTTTCATTACCATGTTTCCTGCGGCAGTGGATATCCTCCCAGTTGTGTTTGAACACAGTTTTCTGGAACCAGTGGTTAAAATGTTGCCTGGCTCGGTCCAATATACCTTTCCCACCTGAAGCACGTAAACTAAATTGTGCTAACAGAAACATAAACAAAATCAAAATGGTTGCAACAGCCATGAACACAATCCGTCCATAACGAATGTTAGTGATCCTCATGATTCCTATGAAAACCAGACATAAAAAAGGAAAGAAAACATTTTTATCAGTACATGTAGCTATCAAGACATATTTTTGTTCCTTTAGCTAACATATTAATAAATTCTAAAAATGTGAGTTTATATTCTTTAAATGGTCATTCTGAGAAGCCAATAATTTAAAGGGACATAAACATTATTAAACTTATTAAGTTTTGACTTTTCTCCCGCAAAAATCGGCCGGTTTTTCTGCGAATTTTGACTTTTTTCCCGCGAAATCGGCTGATTCTTCTGCGAATTTGCCCCTGAAAATCACGCGAAATTTTGCTTTTTTTTCCACAAAATATCAGAAGCCCTGTTATACATACAGTCTATCAATCTGAATTAGAGAAAATATTTTTACTGATGCCTCATAAGCTGTCTATCACCTTCCTGTTGTTTCCCGTGCTTGGAATGACTTTCAACAGATTAACAAAGGAAATTACAGATGAGATTTACCAATCAGACACAAGTCTCCTTTGTTACAACCATCACAGTCTACTAAAAATCAAATTTCAAGAAAGTTTTTTATAATTAAATCACCGAGACATGAAATACATGAACTGATCCTTAGATTTCTCACTGATTCATACTATCAAAAATGTTTCATTTTCATCATGTTCTGGAGTTGCTGATACATTGATAAATCAAAAGAGGTACAAGAACGTCTTCCCTAACCTGATCGAAAGTGTTTCAAAAAATCAACTGTTCCCATTAAGTGTCAATGGAAAAAATGCCAAAACTGAGGTTCTTACTATGACTAGTCTCCTTCACAGCCGTTTTTAGGCGTGTCACGCAATGCTCGTCCCCATGAGCATTGTGTGATGAGCCTAAAAACAGCTGCAAAGGAGACTATACTATGACAGAAAATTATTTTTGCTTTAAAAGAAAAGAGTAAATAATGTTTGTCTCTACAAATTCATCAGTTTCTTTATATCAGGACAAAGGCCTTCGTAAAGGGTTATTTCAATCCAAGATGGCGTTTCGTGATGCTAGAAACGGTCATACACAATGTGAAAGGCTACTTGAATTCAAGATGGCATCTAGAAGACTACTAACATGCTGTTTTTTCCAAAACAAACCGAACAAGAAAGTGTTTACGCCCCGTGATCAATGCCACAGATTACTCTTGAGCAATTCACAGGATCCTTAGGCAAAGTGTAGTGAAGTATTTATGTCGCCAATTTGGAAACTACTTTTAAGGTCACATTGGTGACAAGAGGGAATGGGATATGCAAACCCTCTGGGAGATTCGTCCGCCATTTTTTCTTTTTTTTTTTGACATAAAAAGATTGTGCTTCTCATTTCCTGATTGGGCTTTGCCCTCTCAGGCAACCCAATAATGGAAAATATCCCGATGTCTACTTCCTGGCCATAAAACACAACACACACAAAAAAGAAATACAAATCCACGCACATCGGAGGTAAAAGCAGAAACATCTTTGAGCCATTACAAACTTACAAGATGCATAGGAACTAACAAGGCCGCCACACACGCCGAATGACGGGATTAATAAGCTTAAGTTCACACGCAAATTAATGGACCTTGTCACAGTTTTCAAAGCCATCTTGACAAGTAGGCAAATGTGTGAGAAATTACAGTGTTAGTATGAGAATCCAATGTTGAAGAATTTCCGTAAAATGGCTGTTCTGAAAAAAATATTAATTGAAAACTATTAAAGCTACAAAGCAAAGGGTTGTCCTAAAAATTTTGGGGGGCATACCTGTGCTTGAATTTCTCCAGAGGCTAGCTTAAGATTTTCCATGCATTTGTCTGTAATTTTTCCCGGGCTTTATTACACATTACAGAGAAATGTATAGAAAATCAAAAAAAAAAAAAGGTTGTAGGTCTAGCGCATGTATTACGCGCTCACTTTTTTCAGTAGAATCCTTAGGAGTGAGGATTTAGTTTACAATTCATATATTTTTCCAGAACAGCCGTTCTACGGAAATTATACGACATTAGATTCTCATACAAATACAGTATAAATTTCTCACGCGTTTGCCTACTCGTCAAGATGGCGTCGAAAACGGTGACAAGGTTTATTCTTAATCCACGTCTGTTCTTAATCAGTGATTATAAATCTTAAAAAAACGGTTGCAAAGGTACACAAATATTTTAACTTACCTAAATTACACGTATAAATAAAGAGCCCCTAAAAGTTGTCAAGTACTGCTTCTTCGATTTACAACTTCCATAACGAAAAGGTTGTTAAAAATCCATACGTTTAGATAACTAACTAAATTCTACAACCAAGTGTCCGAAGTGCTGTAGCCTTAGTAGCCTGGCTGAACCTCTTCTTCACTTTGTCCCCAGTCTCTCTCTTGTTAGCTTGAACGAAAGTCTCGGGTACTCTACCAGTTGAACTTTAGCCTGCGTAGCATGGCGGTTTTGGTTGGGCGCACTAAGTAATAAAGGCGGGCGAGGGCGGGAATTTCGCGGCTACGCCGCTCCTGCGCCCGGCTCGACAAAACCGCCATGCTACGCAGGCTAGTTGAACTTCGAAAGACTACGAAACGATTGATTGAAACGGCCTTTCACGTTGGCAGTGATATGAGGGGCAATAGCAGGGGACGTAAATCCCGGCCAGTATTGTGACCCCTGCAACTCTCTATAGTAATCCAGGAGCAGAGTAATCCTTTGCTATACAAATAACACCTGTATAGCGAAAACTGTCATAGGGGGTATAATATTAAAGGCTTGCACAAAGCGACAAAGGTGTGTGTTCTACAATGGTAACTCAGTTTTTAATGGGTCGGGCTTTACAGCAATCCAACACAAGAGAGAATCAGCTTATTAAGCTAGCTTTTTCTTGGACAATCCTAAAATCTTTTCCTTCTCCGCGTTTCCAGAACTCTTTGCCGGGGAAATAATAGCCTGCAGAACATGCGCCATTTAATTTAATTCTTCGCTTTTTTCAGGCGCGTCTCGTGTCCCACGTCCGTTTCTCTTACGCCTGAAACTGACGTGTAAAAACTGTGCCTTGGTTCTGCATGCTAGGGAAATAATGCTCTTATCAGGAAGAAAGGGAAAGCTAGCTAGTCAACTAGCTTACACTTGTGTTAATTGATTTTGGGCTCACTTCCGGGTGTTTAGTGTGCTTAGGGGGAAAGGTAACATTTAGGGTAGCATCTAAAGAGATTTTTTGAAGGGGAAAGAAACGGCAAGCGTCACAAATTTGTTGAAGATAGCACTCAGTTCATCTTTTGCGCTATACCTTTCTAGATTTTGGGAATTTTCGCCCCATGAAAGGGAATCCAAAACATTCAAGATTTCATGCAGTGGATTCCGCATTCCAGGCACTGGATTCCAGTCTTTGTAAATGGAACTTGGATTCTGGATTCTGTAATCGTTAGTGTAATTCCGGATTCCTTGAGCTGTGTTCCGGATTCCAAAGCCCAGGATTTCCATTTCCACAAGCAAAATTTCCCGGATCCCCGAATGCGGATTCCATTGCATGTTTGGGTTCTGACAGGCGAATATTCAAATCACCGCGTACAGCTTTCTTGGTTCTGGGAATTGACTGCCTGTTTTGGTCTCCAGCTAGGTTGCGGTCAAAAACAGGGCCACTTGTAGCATTTACTAGCAAGAATGTATATTGGCTTTCCAGCGTACCCTGCACACTGTATCGGTGGCCTCTTTATATCAGCTTGTTGACACCTCATGATATGTTTTTGTGTCCGCCCACACCTTGCTCATCATGTACGCCTTGTTATATGGAAACAAGGTTTGTTGAGCCTAGAGCTAAAACAAACAAAACATTGGCGTGTCTTTTTTGAGTTGGCTATAGTTCAGTTAAGATAAACAAAGACTTCTTTGTTGACAGACATCAGTTTTTCCTTAAGTAGATTGTAATTAATATCATTCACTGGCATCTGGGGCATTTTATGTTGTCACGTTTCTAAGGGCTATATTTCCTACCTATCTTTGATCACGGGAAATTTCTTGACATTTCGTCATGTTCGAGCAAGTAATGTCGCAACTATTTTTGTGATGGTATTTGTAAGATTATAGTGTCTTAAAACTTCAAGGGTTTAAAGATGGCTAAAGCGACCAGACCTATTCAGCGTAACGAGGAACATTATGTCGCCAAGATGAATTTCAGAAGCGAGAAGATTTTACAAAGTCAAATTCAACGATTAAACAAAGAGAAACTCTTGCATGTGAAAGGCTTGAACGCCCAGATACGAAGCTACGAGCGCAAACTCCAAAAAATAAAAGACAGGGTTCTTGAAGTTGACAAGCTTTCGCGGAACTCTTCGGATCCATCTCAACGGCTTCCTACTCGAGATCACTTTAGCAAACTATCAAGCGATACAACTCGCCAAAGACAAATGGCAACCGGCGTTGGTTACTCCTACATAGACCAACTTCTTGGAGCATCGAAACCCCTTGTAAGTCGACCGTTGAGATGGGGAATAAACCCATCTCTACCAAGTCTTCAACAACAGCCTTCTAAACCGATTACTCTTGTCAGTGATTCTTTCAACTCTAAGGCATTTTTGACGGAGATTAAAGGTCAGCCAATCTATCTTCGACCGCGAGAGGCCGTGTTTCTTAAAAGGCAACTCAGGCCCAATGCTCTTTTACTGCCTCCCATTACTTTGAAACAGAAAGACTTCGACGAAAAGGGATCAGAAACTAGTTTGATTCCGAGGGATTCTCTTTCCGAAAAAGCTAAACTCCAGGAACTGGATCTCTCGAGGGAAGATGACGAAATGAAAAATCAAGATGGAGCCTCTCAACTCTCTCCTATTCCTGAGATTGTGGAGGAAGCTGTGCAAGTTTCGAGAGAAGCGCGGAAAAATGATAGACAAGAACCAACTGAAATTTCAGGACAAAAAGAATCGAGATTAGAGGAAGAACCGACTGGTTCTGAAACATCCAACTTTTTGAATGAGCCTAACATCGTTGTTGAAAAGCGCGAGCCAATTTTGGACAAGGAAATGAATGAGCTTCGCAGTTCATCTATACATGGTCATTTTTCTACCGAATGCGAGTTTCCAACGCATGGCTCAGAAAATTTTACACGAAGCACAGAGCTGCTTCATGAAACAAATGACCAGCAAAACGAAAACAAGGCTAATTCTTCTCGCTATGAGCTTCATGGTCGAAGATTTTCGTTGTGAGCTAGACCACAATTCAGCAGTTGTGCTTGCCGCAAGTCACTTTTGAGCAAAAAAACCATACCGGGATGAACCCGCCATTTCAATTAGCCATATTTACTTATTCGCCGATATTAATTAAAAATCAGTTAAATAGTCCATTTATAGAGTTTATACATACAGTTATTTGTATATATTAATAGACGTTATACAAAGATGACAATTTTTTCTAGCCATTGTGTAGACTAACTATGTTGACATGTACATGATGAAATAGCCACTATTTATATTGCAGTCCAGTGCGGCTAGTCAATCCCGCTGACAAATTTAGAAACATAATGAGAAATAAAACAAAAAACATTTATATCATCCGTTTGGGTTAAATAGTATATAATATTTCTTTTTTAAAAAAAAATGAATAATTGTATTTGACAAAAATAAACAACAATCTGTTTTTTCCCTGCGACTTGTAAAGTGAGCATTTCTGAGTGCAATGACTTCCACAAGGCCCAGGTAATTACATGTAATGTATAAGGCTGTGCCCATAAGAGGGCCGGAGGCTCTTGGTGGCTGAATTCTTTTTTCATTTTTTTTTAAATTTCAAACCTGGCAGCTTAAAAAACCTCTCACCACCTTCTCTCGCTGGGTCATTAGTCCATTAGTCCTACAGTTGAAAAAGGCTTTAAGCCCGGCTGCCCCCGAGATATCCACATACAAATTCTCAAGACTTATCTCCATACGTCTCCTTAAAGAATGTTGAGAGAATTTGAAAAAAAGGTCAAAGAATTGTCCTTTTTGATCATTTTCTTAATTCTCATACACTTTCCTCTTAATTATGTATAATCACTGTTAGGAGAAAATCGATGTTGGTCACTTTTGGGATTGAAAGGGTTAAACTGGCTGAGAACTGGTCTCTCAGGCCGCGAGCTTTAGTTTCCTCTCTCCCCAAGCCATGCTCCGCGAGGGTCGATTAGCAGCCGCGGTTTTTGCAGCGCTCGGATCCCAGATCGGACGCGTGGCCGTTTCTCACGTGTCTCCCCGCCGACTTTCCCCTAGACTTGCTACGAGTCGACCTCTAGGCCAGCGGAGCGAGCGTTTTTAGGCCGCGAAGCGGCCGACCGAGCGACGAAGTCGCGAGAGATCCTCTGCCATATGAAAGACCATTAAATCCGACGAAGGACTTTTTTTAAAGTCTACCTTTCCCCGACCGCCTGATTGCGCTTCCTAGACTCTCAGACAGTCGTTTGCTCTTTTAGCTTTGCCTTTTATTGGCCACTATATAACCTTATGTGAATTTGTATTACGAAATTACCAGATTTGCAGGATTTGAAGGGTGAACAAGCAATTTTCGAACCATAAACGAAAAGTTTTGGGTCTTGGGTTTGATTTACTACTACTTGTTATGACTGACTTGTCACGTTTCACATCAAGTAATAATTATAACCTGAGAAGTTAGGCTAACCCTGACGTATTTTGTGTTTGTTTGTCTGTTGTTGTTGATGTTATTCTTGTTGTTTTGATTATTTTGTTTTGATTTGCCCTTGGCACACTCGGCCCAGTCCTCGACATGTGCTGGCTGAAGGACGTTCAATGGGGTCAGCGGATTCAACCTGAAAAAATATGCTTCAACTCGCAAAATCCATGTGCGTATATTGAACTTCATGTGAAAATATACGAATATTAACGTGTACATGTGCTCCGATCTTCCTTCGTTTCACTTAAATAAGACATCAACTTCCATTCCTGGAAGGTCAGCCTTCATTGTGTAATTATGAGGAATTCTTCAGCGCCGTTCAAACGGGCGCTGTCCATGAAAGACGGCGAGATGAACGGTGTAAATGGCGTTTCCCCTCTGCACAACTTCGTGAAAGCGAAGCAAAAGATAAACTCTACTTTTGGTGACATTGGGAAGTACCTAGAGGACTGTAACAACTTTTTATCGGGTTGT